TATAAAATCATATAAAATTCTATTAATATTAAAAAAATATTTTTATTATTTTACAATACTAATAGATTTATTTTTAAATTAATTTTTTTCAAATTAAAAAAAAATGCCATTTTTTTTTGCCGGAACTGTATATACAGTATATTCTCGAATTTTTTACGGAAATGAAGATATATAATCACGTGATTATATGCAACCCAACCCTCGTGATCGTGTCATAGGCTTATTTATAAGTCGCGTTTTTTTTTTCATTTTCAATCCGTTAGACGCGATGGATACCTACTTTTGGTTATTTCAAAGACACAGTGCCTGATATTTATCGTTTTGCCAATTATTATCAATACCGTAGTAGGGAAAAAGATTTTACTTTCTCCTTTCAAAGAGAGATTGATAAACTTCGAAAGGATTTAGAAGAATGCTATCAAGATGAGGCAAATATTTGAGGTAATTTTTTTTATTATTATTGGGAAAGTGGTGTGAGAGACTTCTAGTAATCCAGAGAATGGGTTAAACCTACACAACTACGGTGGTTTTCTGCTCCTCCCGTTGCCTGCTTTATGGTCTGCTATAAAGCAGTATGGAAGACTCTAGTAGTCCTGAAAGGGGTGAAAACTCACACAACTACAACTATGATAGACATCTGCTTGTTGCCTACTTTATGGTTTGCTTGTCCGTTGTGGTCTGCTATAAGGCGGTATGGGTGACTTCCAGTGGCTTCGAGAAGGGGTAAAACTATGTGGGCATCGAGTATCTGATTATTGCCGTTTTATTTTTGTTTGTACGTTATGATTTTATGGTTGAAAAAATAAGGTTGGTACATGAATTCTTTTTATTAACTTTATAAAAATTCATCGCGAATCTTTTAAAGGTGCAATAGTTTTTTGAGAAAATATATGAAAGCGACCTTGCTAATCTAGCTAAGTTTTGTCGAGGTTAGTTTTTTAAACGTTCTCGTATTTTTTAGCAAAACTCACATATTAACTTTAATTTTTGATTTTATAGACAGGTGTTGCGGTTCTTCAAACTACTATTAATCAGGTTGGTACAATGCTGCTAATGACTGTAATCTTGATTGTCCGACAGAATTGTTATCGAATTAAATTAATTATATATACATGTATATACTATTTAATAGTTTGATGCCTCATATTATACACCAACACCTGTGCATCAGTGTTTACTATCGGAGTTATCGAAAGAGAAAGATAATTCCATGAAATTACACCAGTACATAAGCAGCTTGAACCGATTCCCTTTATTTCCTATTCACAAGGCAGAAAACATGATTGTGAATCTGAAGACGATACTGATGACATTATTGGCGGGAGAAATCTGCCGAAAACAAAACCCGAGTATTACGACGTAATTTTTTTCAATGCTAAGGATAAAAATAATTTTCTAGAAACACTAGAAAATGATACGGTTCAACAAATGCTTACACTTCAGCAATATAAAAATCACAATAATTCTTTTGGAAGAGTTTTTTCATTGAATTTCGTAGAACATATGTAAGAATTATTTATTGTTCAAAGCTTGCTAAGAACTTACTGTATGTTGCGGTGTATAGTACCCCCCTGTAGAATACTTGCCGGTCTTCCGATCAATATACACGAATAAGAATAATATATTTTTTTACGTACATAATAATTGGCAGAAAGATATGCACCATGAAATATCCATGACAAGGGTGGTAAGTACAATAATTTTGATATTAAAATTCAAAAATAATAACAAATAGTATATAAAAATAAATTAGCAATATGATTAAATTTATTTTTCATATATACATGTATTATTTTCTTATTAAAAGTAATAAAATACGCACATTCATTTCTGATTTCAGATTATAAAAAAGGATTCTTTTTTTTTAAATGCACTATATTATTCTAATTTATTTAAAATTAGTTTGTCACAATACATTTTTAGACATTAAAAATATTAAATCCGAATTTAGTTACGAATCAACTAATTATACAGTAAATTGATACTCCTATTGACTTTAGTTTAGGAATGTTGAATTTTGGCATTTAAGTTTTAGTTGATTTTGTCAAAATATTTTAAACAGCTCAAACCTTTTTCACTAACATTTTGGACATATAAGGACCTAAAACAAGAAATGAATGATTAGATCACATATATAAAAAAATCGTTCATTACATTGCATTTACAACGTTACTTACCATCCAATTTATAACCTAATTTTTCATAATACCCTCTTACCCCAACACCGCTGATGACCGCAATCTTCTCACTCTCATGTTCCTCCAATGCAATCCTCTCAGCCTCTTCCATTAGCAATGTACCATATCCTTGATGTTGAAACTTTGTTGGATCTCTACTATGCATTGGCACCACGCTTCCGTATACGTGCAACTCTCTAATAATACTTGTTGGATATTCAACAAGCTCAGGTCGG